AGATGTGCCCAAATCTTTTTTTTTTTTATTTTTAAATTGTAATTTTAATTTTTTATTACTTAATTATGACATCATGTGTTAATTCATTTGGTTTTGATAGTTGAATGATTTACCTACCACCTAGATGGAGAATGGTTTGATTTTCATGCATATAGGCTTAATTGGTAAAACTTATTTGCGAGAAAAAAGAATATCTTAAGTATAAGATTTAATGAGAGAAACTGTGAGTTAACATGTTAAATATAGAACTTTGGTTGTTAACTCAACATGCGACAAGAATTCCAGCTGACCGTTGGCCTCCACATGACATGTTTCCTACTCAAGTTCAATTTAACGTTCCACTAATTAGAGGTGTCAATGGACCAGTTTTGGATTAGACCCTGTCCAAACTAATTAAAATCATTTTGGACAGATGGGATTGACCAACAAGACATATTGAATTGGACTAGCCCAAACTTAATGGTCCAAAGTATTTATTGGATTGGATTGACCTGGTCCATCCATAATGAATTTATATTGGATTGGGTTGGATTAAGCCAATATCTGATCCATTGGTCAAAGATAAGAATATAAGTGTCAATAGACCAGGTTTGGGTTAGCACCAATCTAAATTAAAACAATTTTGAACAGATTGGATGGTCTAGACATTGAATTGGACCAGTCCAAAATGGTTCAAAATATTCATGGGATTGAATTGGACGTAGTCCATTTGTAATGGACTGGCATTGGACTGGATCGGATTGGACCAAAACCAGTCTAATTGACACCCCTACCACTAATGGGACCCATAAAACACCAATTATAAATTCTAACTAGTGGGGGCCCATGCGATGCACAGGATTTGTTAAGTTAAAGCTAAACAATAGAAACACATAAGAGTATACAAATGTTAAGTTAAGTATTTTTTATATAATTATTTATCTATTTTTATTATTTTGTTATTTAAGATATTTAGTTATTGAAATATGCAAATAATGTTTTATTTTTAAATGTTAATTTTTAATTTTTAAATAACATTTAAATTGAATTATCTGGAAAACCGTAATTTATATTGTTAGTATATAATTTCGTGATGAATTTTGTAGAAATATAATATTATTAATAGTATAAATATTATTAAATCTATTATAATTATTTTTTGTGTTTTTAATAAATATTTTAAAAGTTATTATATAATTTCATTAGAATATTTAAATAATTTTAAAATTTTTTAATTGAAACTTTAGATAGATATAGATAAAAAGTGGAGGAGAGGATAAATAGGAATTAGAGATAATTTAGGAGAAAGTGGGGGAAGTAGTTTAGGATAAATTTTAGGAGAAGATATTATTTAAGTTATTGGGAAAGTGTGGGAGAGAGAGATCTTAGGTAATTTTTTTATGGGGAAGGAGAGCATCTCATTGGTTGTTTGAAAAATGATATCAAATAAAAATAAAAATTTCAAAAAAAGGAAAAAATTTCTAGACTCTTGTGTTTTAGTATATATACTAGCGGGGACCCATGCGATGCAAGGGAAAATCTGAAAGATTGAATAATTTTATTTATTATTAATTAATTGATAAATCAGCAATCAAAATTTGTTGTTAATTGACTAAAAGTATTCAAAGTTATTGTTAATATTTAAAATTTTAATAATTGTATTCTCATTTAATGTTGATTTACAAAAAATAATTATTTTTAATTTAATATGAACAAAAATATTTTAATAAATTTAATTTTATTAATCATTTGTAATTTTAATAATTGTTATTATTTTCATTATTTTTAAATTAAATTTTGATTTACTTTAAATAAATAAAAATAATTACAAAAGCGAGCATTTTTATGAATTTCACTAATAATTAACAATTATATAGGAATGGCAACAGGGTGGGTCACGCCATCCCTGTCCCCGCCTTGTAGTCAAGACATTACCCCATCCCCACCTTGTCCTCAATGTCAAGCAGGTTGAGGGCATGGCACCTACTCCCCAATAAAGAAGGGGTATCCTCGAATTTCCTCGTCTCGTCCTCAATGTCAAGCGAGTTTAGTGTAAGGCACCCACTCCTCATTAATGATGGGGAATCCTTGAGTTTTCTCCAGCCCATCCCCCGGTGTCAGGTGGATTTAAGGCAAGGTACCAACTCCCCATTAAGCTTCGCTTTTGGTTTTAATTTCAAACCACGGGGGGGAGGACTTTGTAGGGATGAGAGAAAGATAGAATTTACTAATTGTGTTATTAATGAGACAATTTATTAATACCATATTAACATATAGGAGACATGTCATGTCGAGGTTCATAGCTAAAGTTTTCTTTAAATATAGGAGCTAATGAGAGGGAATTAAATGAAAGAAAAACAATACTTCAATTGATGTTTTTTTGATTTCACATTTAAAGAGGGGTCAAAATAGAAGTTAGGGGTATTTTAGTTAAAAAAAGTTCACAAAAGTTATTTATTTTATATGCCTTAAATACAAGATTTAGGGGGTGTTCTATAGCGTAGATGAGAAATTGGGTAGTTTGTTTTCATCTACACCATGGAAAAAAATGTGTGGACTGATCCACACCACACCTATGGGCGTTCTACAAGGTGTGGCATATTTCAATTTGCACATTGTATTTGATTCCATGCATCTCAACTACAACATTTGAGATAACCTATGTCGTTAATCATTCAAAAAACAATATATTATTTTTTGTAATATACACAATAGAAAAATATTAGTAAGTTTCTAAAAATTTTAATAATTAATAAAAATAATATTAGTAATAATTAATAATATTAAATAAAAAATGATATTAAATATTAATTAAAAAGAGTAGTAATATTAATGATAATTGATAATATTAACAACAATTTTAATAATATTTAATAATATCAATAACAATTAATATTAATAAAGTAACATTTAAAACTTAATAATTAATAAAATAATATTAATATTAATTAATAAACATGAGTAGTAGTGGCAAGTGGTTCAAACAAAGAAGAGTAATATAGCATGAGAATAAACGAAGGATGAATACTTACCAGTTACCATCGATGATCTGATACAACAGTGGTCGGAAGAGGAGTGGCGAGTGGTTCAAACTAGGTTTGTCAACCTAGTTTAATAGTAGTATAAATATAGATGGTAATCGGATCGGATGTTACAATCTATATCCAATTAATAATCAGATTTGACCCCATCCAATCCGAATAAAATATGAAACCAATTATTATAATATTTATTAATTTTAATATATAAATTTTATATAATTATATTTAAATTATAAAAAAATATATTCTATATTATATTTATATATGAATTTATATATAATAGTTTAGTATGTTATATTTATATTAATTTATTATATATAAAATTTGAAAAATAAATAAATTTTATTTTTCTGGTATTTGAAAATTTATAGCAGAGTTGGATTAAATCCGAATATGATCTGAGTCCGTTAGGATTCAAATTCGAATCCAAACTGATCGAATTCAGATGTAGGTTCTCAATAATCAGATTGAATGTGGGTTTTGTTGCATCTAATCTAAGTCCGATCCGATTACAACCATAGTTCAAATAGAGAAGAATAGCAATGACGAGTATAGAAGAATAGCAACGACGTGCTCACAAAAAAGTGTTGCAACGATGAAAAGAAAATAGGTCTTATATTAGGGTTAAGCATCCATGCAAAGTATGTATCGTTATTCCATATGCAAAACGGTGTGGTGTAGATGCTTCCACAAGATAAACCTGTGGATAAGAAAATGGACTGTGGTGTGAACCAATCCACGAGATAACGTGGATCAGTCCACACCACAGCCAACCGAACGCATGGCACAGAGGTGATGTGGATTTGAAACTGAATATATCATGGCCAATCCACACCACAGAATAGCACCTTAATGAGAAGGAATAAGAATTAATACCTTAAATATAAAACTTAATGAGAGGGAATAGAATGGATTTAAAATTAATAGCTCAAGTTACGCTTTTCTTTTACCCTTAGAATATGAATGAAATTAAAAAATAGGAACATTAAAAATCCAAAATCTAAATTTCATTCCCACTTTAACATTTATATAAATATAGATGAGAATTACTATGTGGGTTTCATGCTTCTGCATAATTGCTTACATGGGAAGTTCGTGCAATGCCAGTCATGAAACATAGCCATACCATGCATGCAAAACATCAAATATATGAAAGCTATATCTATTGTAGGTTAGTGGTCAATGGGTCAGTGGTTCAACCATTTGATCAATGGGTCAGTCAACGATATCATCAATGGGTCAATGATTCAACAATCCGGGTCGACAGGTTAAAGGTTGACCCAAACCAGGGTTATGAGTGAGCCACCGGTCCAACCGGCCATATCAATTGCATGTGGATCAAAAACACTATGGTGGATTAGTACAGAGGGTACGATATATAAAGAGATAAAAAACACAAGACTAGATGACAATGAAAGGTAGGTTAGTCAAATTTTCTAAATTAAACCATGGTCAGGTTAATTGGAAGACTTATAAGCAGAAGATTTTAATTGGGGAAAATCCCATAAAGAATCTAAGCAGCCTACCTTAGCAGTGCAATCTAATTAAAGAAAAAATTCCCTACAACTTAGAACTCCATATATATAGGTCCAACCTAGAGTACTGTCTACACATAGAAGAAATTAAATCAGCACCAATCAGATGATAGAATTCCAATCTCATCTCAACTGCTCCTCTTAGTGGGTATCAGATTAAATCAATTAGGACGTACATAGGAGACCCATAAGTAATTTTTTCTTTTCTGTTTTATTTTTGTCATTTCCCCTTGCAAAAGCAGAGATGTAACAAGCACAAAGCCAGATCATCAACTTGCCCTTCTAGAAGGAAGTAGAGATGTCATCAATCAATCAATGAGAAATAGGGAAGATGCCAAATCAACTTACACATACATCTCTTCTCCGTGAAGCGATACAAAATACACAATACAAGACCATACACGAGTTTGTAAAGCTACAGATCGAATGACAAGACTCCCGTGGACTATAACATTAAGTGCAATTGATGAAAAACTGTAGGAGACATTTGAAAGGAGAGACCCAATTCAGAGAGACAAGAGAGAAACCCATCTCTCTCTCTCTCTGTGAAGGTATGGCTATCTCTTGAAACCTTGGTAGCACTTTCTTTTGTTCCATATATATTTCCTTGGTTCTGGTTTGGGTCTGTGGTATTGCTTTTGTTTTACGTAAAAATCAGATTTCTTCTTATAATAGCATCTAACAGATCCCTTTCGTGACATTTCTTTCTGCTGGGTCTTTAATTTCATGCGTCTAGGTGAGTCTTATCTTCCTCTCCGTGGAAGATCTCTTCTGTCTTGAGAAGATAAAGAGATCCAAGGAGGGATGACGGAAAAATCTGACAAGGAAGTGTCGACGAGCGGAGATGGGGAGCAAGCGAAAGGAGAAGACCAGCAGAAGGTTCCCTTCTACAAGCTCTTTACCTTTGCAGATAGACGCGATGTGGCGCTGATGGCCGTCGGCACGATAAGTGCAATCGGGAATGGGCTGTCCATGCCGCTCATGACTCTCATCTTTGGCGAGCTCATCAACGCTTTTGGCGCTTCGAATCGTTCACATGTGGTGGCCGCCGTGTCCAAGGTATATATGCACTCACAGTAAAGTTAACTAGAAACTCTACTAAGTGATCAGAACCTCCATTAATTTCAACCTGCAAACATGGCAGCAACCGCCGGCGTGGACTGATCGGTGCCCGCCTGGCCGGATTTAGGTGAGAGCATGTGTTCTGAATTGAGCTGGCCTAATTAGGGTGTTTCTTTTCTTAGTTCTTAATTAATTGCAAAGGAGGTGTAGAGCAATGTGACTAAGGTGGAAGCAGATCATTTAGTTCAGAACTATCCCCGGCCAAGCGGCCGGCCGGACGACGGTCGGGCGACTTGATGCCGATGTGATTGGCTTGGCCCATTTGATTACATAATTCCCCTTTGGAAGGATGCCCTTTGGATCATAGTAAGAAAACTCCCACTTGCAGGGAAGGTGCCAAAAGTAATGGTTGGCATGGAGAGAATTTCTCAAGTATGAATGCTGTAGGGAGCTCCAAGCTAGAAGGGAAGTAGGGATAGGAGTTAGGACAATTGGTTTGCACTTGCACACTAGAGAATGGCCTAGGTCCTAGGATGGGCCACGCTTAATGGGTGGTAGATGGCATTATGGGCCCAATCCAAATGATTTAGAGCTAAATGGGCCACATCCAATGGCGGAAGGGACATGATCCTCCAGATGTCCGACCTCACCAAATTCTAAACAAAATATATGGGACCCTTGTGTTGAATTATTGCTCAAAATCTCTGTTTTTTAGTGCCTATGTTTATTTCTTATTTTAAATAAAATGCCCATGTGAAACAGCATAAAATAACCCTCAAAATGCATGCCGTATCCTATTTGGTTTCTCATGGTGGATAGTTAAGGCTGTGTTTGGTTTGATAGAAAACAAGAGAAAGAAAGTTGAGGGAAAGTTCTTAAAAGAATTTAACAAATTTTTAATTTTGTGAAGAACTTTCTGTTTTCTTTCTTAGAACTAGAGCCATTTGGGAGGGCTTTTGCAATGATTGACAGAGCCCCTTCTGATAAACTACACCAGAGAGCCGATTTTTGGGCTCGTGTAAGCCTATTTTTGGCTCTTTGGATTTTTATAAAACAGGGTTTCACGACTTTTCAGTTTCTTGGCTAGAAGCTGCTGTGTGAAAGCCCTCCCAAATGGGGACTTAATACCAAACATAGCCTAAGCTTTGCTTTAGAGTGTTGTGTGAAAGCCTTCCCAAAAAAGCAATTATGGGAAATTTGGTGGAGATTTATGATTATGTCTCAACCCACCTTGGGGTTGAAGGAATTATCAGACCGTGGCCTCATCATTTCTATCACTGTATCTGTGGGTGATTTCCTAGGATCTTATTTGAGCTCCATTCTTTGGTTTCAGGTGTCTCTGAAATTCATATATTTGGCTATTGGTTCAGGGCTTGCTTCATTCTTACGTAAGTGCAGACAGTGGAACCCTTTTCTGCCTTCATACATGGCTTTGGGCTAGTATGATGATATTAAAGCTCAGTCTCGTCTTCAGATTTGAGGCTTGATAACTATTATCCTCTGTCAAGCAATTTCACTGTGCATCTGCTCATCCTACCCACAGGACACACTGGGAACATCTTCCGTATTTACATGTTACCATTCATGAATGGGAAGATGTTCCCACTGAAAATTTCAATTTCCAAATTATGATCTGATACAATACGTTAATGTGGTCAGTTTGGCACCAAATTACAAATTTTGAAGAAGCATCGTGTTTCTACAAATTAAACACTTAAGAGTTTGGCAAATTTACAGTGAAAACTTATACTTTGTCAATACTGAGTTGGTGCTACTTTCTCATCCCAGAGGTGGCTAGCTGGATGGTGACCGGGGAGAGACAGGCAGCTCGAATTCGGGGATTATACCTGAAAACCATTCTAAGACAAGACATCACATTCTTTGACACAGAAACAACAACTGGAGAAGTCATTGGGAGGATGTCTGGGGATACCATTCTCATTCAAGATGCCATGGGTGAAAAGGTACATAAAAATCTGGATTTTCTACCTACAAAACCAAGTCAAAATGGGGACTAGCTAGCTCAACTAGGAATTGGTAGAGTTGATGAAACATTTCAAATTCTTCTGTTAGGTCGGAAAGTTCATCCAACTCATTTCAACCTTCATCGGGGGCTTCGCAATTGCATTTGCAAAAGGTTGGCTTCTAGCATTGGTGATGCTTACATGCATTCCTCTCCTTGTTGTTGCTGGTGGCGTCATGTCTATCTTCATCTCAAAAATGTCGAGCCGTGAACAAATTGCCTATACTGAAGCTGGAAATATTGTAGAGCAAACAGTTGGAGCCATTAGAACGGTAAGGAATGCCCATAGAGAGTTAATAAAGATAGAAACTCTGCAACTCGGATAAATACAATTGCTTTTCAGTACAGTGATCCATGATTTTGTTCCACTGGGATGTTCCAGGTTGCGTCCTTCACTGGGGAGAAACAAGCCATCAATAAATACAATGCAGCAATACAAAGGGCATATGTCTCCTCTGTTGAACAGGGTTCTGTGTCCGGCATGGGACTTGGTACAGTTTTAGTGATCATATTCAGCAGTTATGGGCTAGCCGTATGGTATGGATCCAAGCTGATCATTGAGAAAGGCTACAATGGTGGACAAGTCATTAACGTTATAATATCACTCATGACTGGTGGAATGTAAGTAATATAATCAATTATTGAACAGAGAGATGTCTTTTCTCTGTAACTATTAATTCCATATTTCACTGGTCTCTTGAACCAGGTCCCTAGGCCAGGCATCTCCATGCTTGAATGCCTTTGCAGCAGGACAAGCTGCAGCGTATAAGATGTTTGAGACGATCAAAAGAAAACCTTTGATTGATGCATATGACACAAGTGGTATCGTCTTGGAAGACATCAAGGGCGATGTGGAACTGAAAGATGTCTACTTCAGCTACCCAGCAAGACCTAATGTTCAGATATTTTCTGGCTTTTCACTGCGCATTCCGAGTGGTGCCACTACAGCTTTAGTTGGACAGAGTGGAAGTGGGAAATCGACAGTTATCAGCTTGGTGGAGAGGTTCTATGATCCCCAGGCTGGTGAAGTGCTCATTGATGCTGTCAACTTGAAGAAGCTGCAGCTGAGATGGATAAGGAGCAAAATTGGGCTTGTTAGCCAGGAACCCATCTTGTTTGCAACCACCATCAAAGAAAATATCTTATATGGGAAAGATGATGCAACACATGAAGAGATTAGAACAGCAATTGAGCTTGCAAATGCTGCAAGGTTCATTGATAAGCTTCCTCAGGTATAGCTGCATCTTCCTTTTGAAATAGTGCATTCTCCTTGTGTAATCTCAAAAAAAAAAAAAAAAGGTTTCTATCTCAACTGTGCAACCATCACATGATTGTACCATACTGTGAAAATAGGGGCTTGATACAATGGTAGGTGAGCATGGAACACAATTGTCTGGAGGACAGAAACAGAGGATTGCAATTGCAAGGGCTATCCTGAAGAATCCAAAGATCCTACTTCTTGATGAAGCAACAAGTGCATTGGATGCAGAGTCTGAGCGCATAGTGCAGGAGGCCTTAGTAAGAATAATGTCAAACAGGACAACTATAGTTGTAGCACATCGGTTAACCACCATTAGGAATGCAGACATCATAGCTGTTGTACATCAAGGGAAAATTGTAGAGCAAGGTGACCAAGTTGCATTTTTATCATTTTAATGTCTTTACTATATTATGAAATGCTGATCACCTCTTTTGTTCACTAGGTACTCACTCAGAGTTGACCCAGGATCCTGATGGGGCTTATTCGCAGCTCATTCATCTACAGGAGGGGACTCAACAAACTGAAGTTTCGCTATATGCTGACCCAGACAAAGCAGATCAGATTCTTGATGCTTCAATGACCAGATCTCATAGCCAGAAGTTAGCTATGAGGAGATCCACAAGCAGAGGTTCTAGAGGTTCTTCTAGTGGTAGGCGTTCCTTCTCACTTACATTTGGTGTCCCAGGTCCCATAGGCCTTCATGAGACTGAAATTGGAGGGGAAGACATTAATGACCAAGATGATTATGATGATGAGAAAGAAGAAGCACGTCGCAAAGTGTCCATTAAACGTTTAGCCTACCTGAATAAGCCAGAGGTGCCAGTTCTGCTGTTAGGATCCATTGCTGCAGCTGTACATGGCATAATCTTTCCGGTTTTTGGACTACTGTTTTCAACAGCCATCAAAATCTTCTATGAACCTGCTCATGAACTTCGGAAAGATTCCAAGTTTTGGGCCTTGATGTATGTAGGTCTAGGTTGCATTGCTCTAATTTCTGTACCAGTGCAACAATATTTATTTGGTGTTGCTGGAGGTAAATTGATACAGCGTATTCGATCCATGACATTTGAGAAGGTGGTCCACCAAGAAATCAGTTGGTTTGATGAACCTGTGAATTCAAGGTACATTAATCAATTTCTAGCTAATGCCCCAACCTCTCTATACACAAATGTGCATAAAATTCTCTAGTATATTAACTGATTGTAAAATTTCTGGTTCCATTTCAGTGGGGCTATTGGTGCAAGGTTATCTGCTGATGCTTCAAACGTGCGGAGTCTTGTAGGCGATGCCTTGGCCTTGATGGTTCAGAACTTATCAACACTCACAGCAGGGCTTATTATAGCATTTACGGCTAATTGGAGATTGGCACTTATAGTTTTGGTTTTGTTACCATTGGTGGGTCTGCAAGGATATGCTCAAATGAAGTTTCTGAAGGGATTTAGTGCAGATGCCAAGGTTAGATCCCTTATTCTACTGTATAAATTGATACATTGAAGGAACCAAGGAATTTGGATTATGGGGGTTCTAAACACAGACACATAAAATTTTCAATTAACACTAATTATAGATTTTAGCAGCAATGGATGAAATTAATGTTTATCAAACAATATACATTATGAAAATTACTGGGCTCCTAAGAAAATTATAAAACCTCTTGCAGGTAATGTATGAGGAAGCAAGTCAAGTTGCAAATGATGCAGTAGGTAGCATTAGAACAGTTGCTTCATTTTGTGCAGAACAAAAGGTAATGGATCTATACCAGAAAAAATGTGATGCTCCAATGAAACATGGAATCCGGCTAGGACTTGCAAGCGGTGGAGGATTTGGCTTCTCCTTCCTTGCACTTTATTGCACTAACGCTGCGTGTTTCTACTTTGGAGCTATTCTTGTGCAACATGGGCAAGCAACATTTGGACAAGTTTTCAAGGTACGGTACTACAATTATTTGTTTTCTTGTTCCATTTCAAAGTAGTCTTGTTTTGATTTCTAATGGCTTGACTTTTGCAGGTTTTCTTTGCCTTGACAATATCAGCAGTTGGAATTTCACAAACTAGTGCAATGGCTCCAGATTCCAACAAGGCTAARGATTCAACTGCTTCTATTTTTGACATTCTAGACAGCAAACCGAAGATCGATTCAAGCAGTGAAGAAGGTATGACCCTAGCTAGTGTCAAAGGTGACATTGGCCTCAAACATGTTAGCTTTAGATACCCAACACGTCCAGATGTGCAGATCTTCAGAGACTTGTGTCTAAGCATCCCCTCTGGAAAGGTATTTACCACCCCTCTCACCTGTATTATCATTGTAAATCTCAAAGAACCATTCAACCTAAAAGCTTAAGCTGTTAGGTGAGGTCCTTGAATAGGTTGATATTCTCTAATAGTAAACATGTCTTGAAGTTTCTTCTCATATTGATACTAACATTCTTTACTGTTTGTAGACGGTTGCCTTGGTTGGAGAGAGTGGTAGTGGGAAATCAACTGTTATCAGCTTGCTAGAAAGATTTTATGATCCTGATTCAGGCCAGATATTGTTGGATGGAATAGAAACTCAGAAGTTCAAGCTAAGTTGGCTAAGGCAACAAATGGGATTGGTAAGCCAAGAACCAATACTATTCAATGAAACAATTCGTAACAACATTGCTTATGGAAAGCAAGGAGGCACATCTGAAGATGAGATCATTGCAGCTGCAAAAGCAGCAAATGCTCACAACTTCATAGCAGGACTTCCAGAAGGCTATGATACCTCTGTTGGGGAGAGAGGAGTACAATTGTCTGGTGGACAGAAGCAAAGGATAGCCATTGCTAGAGCAATACTGAAGGACCCAAAGATCCTTTTGCTCGATGAGGCTACAAGCGCACTGGATGCAGAATCAGAGCGTGTGGTGCAAGAAGCATTAGATAGAGTAATGGTGAATAGAACAACTGTTGTTGTTGCTCACCGTCTCTCTACAATCAAGGGGGCTGATATAATTGCAGTTGTGAAGAACGGTGTCATTGCTGAGAAGGGGACACATGAGGTGCTCATGATGATACAAGATGGTGCCTACGCTTCTCTAGTAGCACTTCACATGAGCTCCTCAACGTAGACAAAATAGGAAACAAGAGTTTGCTGTAGGCCTGTAGCCTATTGCGTCTCAGAGCTTCTTGGTGGCCAATGGGTTCCTTGGATGAGAAGGCTTATTCTATCTTCTTTTGAAGGGTTTTACCCTTGCTCTTTCTTTTTTCAGTGAGCAAAAAGGCTTGTCTGATCAATAATTCTGAAATGTGAATAGATGTATTTTCGTTCCTATAGATATGTATCTTTTCGTGTTCAATAAAAAATGTGAAAATAAAAATGAAAGGAAGAAAGAAGTTTCAACATGCATTTAAAGCAGAAGAAGACAATATGGGGTACAAGTTTTTCTGTCCTAGTATCTCTCCTTGTTGATCCTAGGAATTATAAAATGATTTGCAGTGAAGCAATACTCACTAAAAAATCTTCACTTCTCCATAGATTATCTGAATCACAAAGAAACTGATGTTTAATTGAAAACTACTTATGAAAGTTCAATGTTTTTCTGGAAACAAAACATCAAAACCCTTACTTCATTTGGAGCTCCTTATGAGAAGGCTTGACATTCATAAAGAGACTACCCCGTGTGACAATTGTGGAGGATCTTTATCACTTCCCATGTTGCTTGAATTATATGATTAGGCTGTATGGGTATAAAAATAGATGCATTTCAGGGGATATTGGATCAAGCGACTTTCACTGCCCAGCACTATGAATGATGAGGGCATCCAAGATTTTAGACATGGAGCAACTGGTCAAAACAGAGCCATTTTTGAGGGAATATATATAGCTATCTCCAAGCAAGTTTTCTGAAAAATAAAGTTGTATAATGAGGAATTCAAGGCTTGGCAATGTCTTACAGGTGCTTCTTCTTCTCTTGTTGGGCGGTTCACTAATGTAGCTGTGGACCAAAATCAGAAAAAAAAAAAGAAAACAGGTAAATATATACTTTGACATAACTGGGGAAGGGCGATGCTACTGTTGCAGCTTTGCTTTTAATGAATGGTCCTAACCTATATTAGGCTTAGGGCTGTCAACAGGTTGGGTCTGGGTCAGGACAAAGCAGAACCAGTCCCAAACCGAGCGACAAGTAATTGTACTGACCTGGTACCGAACCAGACCCTATAGGGTCTATAATTTTCAACCCAGAACCGAACCGATTGGTTCTTGGGAGTTGGGACAATTGGGCCTGATCCAATGGACCCGATTACAATAACCCAGCTGAAAAGGAACAACAAGAAACTTCTTGACCATGTTAGAGCCTTTGACCGGCATTGCAATATGGTTATTGAAAATGTTAGGGGGATGTAAGATGTAGTTGAGGTTCCCAAGACAGGAAAAGGCAAGAAAAAATCCCATCCAGTTAACAAGGATTGATTCACCAGCAAGGTGTTTCTCTATGGAGATTCGGTGATCATAGTTCTCAGGAATCCTAAGTGAGAGATAATTTTGAACAAGATAAAGAGTTGAACATGCTTACATGCAGTGGTTGTGTTCAAAAACATGTAAGGAACAAGACTACAAGAATTGGTTACCTATTTTTTCTTTTGTATTTTTGAACAAGACAAAAAACGGAACCAATTTCAGGCATGAAGCATATCTGCCAGTTGCCACATAGAACCGAGACCTTTGTTGCAATATAGCAGATTTCAGGCAACAATGATCATGAGGCATTTTGCAATGCCTGCCACAAGACTGCAACATGATCTTTGTTGATGCATCTGTTCTTGCATTCTTTGAGTCTTGCAGAGATTATTTGCAGAAGGTTTCCCTGACTATCAAGCATCATAAGCAGAGCAGTAATTAAGAAAAAAGATGCACAAGATCTGAAAGTATTGGTAATCAAACAACAAAGACACAAGATCAGACATTTTACTCAGTCCAACAAGCATCTCACCCATACAGATACCAGTTGAGAATTCAAGGTTCTCACTTTGCATGAAGAAATCTAACATCTAAGTAAGGAGTGATATTATAGGACAAACATAGTAGATAAGAATAAGGAAACTAGAACCAATCAATAAGTTCTGATTTAAACATTCTTAATTTCCACCAGCATCACAGAAAAAAACAGGCTTTGAATACCTCCTCCCACCTATCTGTCATTATGGTAGAAAGTAAATAAACAATGCAAAAAACTATTTTTTCATTCCCCAACAAGGATCAGTACCAAAATATATTAAGGATCAAAAGGGATAGAAGAATAAAATTCCCATTCCATAAGAAGGAGAGACCAAGACATATAATGAGAACTAAAAGCATCAAAAAGAAAAAAGGTAGACCTGAAAGCAACATACAACGCAAGCCTTTCTAACCACCACAAAGAAGCTCCTAGTATGAACAGAAATAAAAAAGGAACACAATGCAGGATTCTTCAACATGGCAATATGGTATATATGGGTAGTTCTTCTACTTAAAACTTAAAAAACCTTGGATTGCTAAGATTACTTAGGGAAAATATCTGCATAAAATCTGCCATAGGTTGGTTGGTGTATTTAACATAAACACATGGCTAATTCAGAATATCTCTGTTTGTGATGGATGGTTTGTAGCAGTAACATCATCCCCCAAATGATAGAAACAGGGTAAGCTGCCTAGGAAAGAACCTAAATTTACTCATGTGTGTGTGTCCATATACATGCAAATTACAAAAACAAATAAATAATCATTGACACAACAAATATACATGTTCTTATTGTCTACAAGAAAGAACCAAAAACATAGAAATACTGCCTTTAATATTATAGTTTTATTTTTCATAATACAAGCAACTACTATAACATAAATGCCATTACCTTCAACACTTCCAAGAGGATGGAAGTGGCAGGAAAGTGTGCTCCTACAACAACTAGGAAAACCCATGAGAATGAGAGATCTATGTAGAAACTAGGGTTTCAAGAGAGAGGAAGAAGAGAAGAGAATAAGAAGAAGGGGAAGAAGAGAGCAAGTGTCGAGAGGTGTGTATATTCACTATTCACACCCTCAAAAGAATACATTATAACCTGAGAAAATAATAATTACAAGAAGGCCCCTATATGGGTGCCCAAATACTGAGAGAGTATAAGAAAGGAGAAAAAAACCAAAAACACCCCTGTCTAGCCATTCTCAACACTCCCCCTCAAGATGAGCATATATGTCAATCATGCCCAGCTTGGCAAGGTTCTTAGCAAACTTTGGATGGTGAACACCTTTAGTGAGGCAATCAGTTAGTTGGTCTTTTGACCTTACAAAAGGAAGGCAGATCTCTCCGCTAGCAATTCTTTATCTAATAAAGTGTTTATCCACCTCAATATGCTTTGTATGATCATGTTGGACAGGATTGTGAGCAATATTTATGGCTGCTTGATTGTCACAATATAATCTCTTTATAACATCTGCTTGGATGCCCATATCAGTCAATAAGGTTCTCAACCAGAGTAGTTCAGACACTCCATGAGCCATTACCCTGTACTCTGCATTAGCACTAGAACGAGCAACCACAAATTATTTCTTACTTCTCTAGGAAATCACATTGCCTCCAACTAAGGCACAATAACTAGATGTAGATCTTCTATCATCGATGGACCCTGCCCAATCAGCATTTGTGTAAGCCTTAATCTTTAGATAGTCGTAGTTGGAATACAACATCCCTTTGCCAGGGCATCCTTTCAAGTAGGCTAAAATTCTATTAATTGCTTGCATATGAAATGTCCTGGGTTCATACATATATTGGCTAACCACTCCAACAACATAGAAGGCGTCTCACCAATATCTGATATACCCCCTGTCTGGAAGAACTTCCCCTTCGGTAAAGCTCAACTTGTGGTTGGGATCAATTGGAGTTTCTACAGGCTTACACCCTAATTTTCCAACCTCATGAAGCAAATCAAGTACATATTTCCTTTGTGACAAAAAAATCCCCTTCTTAGATCTTGCAACTTCAATACCAAGAAAGTATCAGAGATCACCAAGGTCTTTAATCTCAAATTCAGAAGCAATGAATGACTTTGACTGAGAGATACCTGTGATATCATCACCTGTCACAACAATGTCATCAACATATACTATCAACATTGTTACTATACCATCAACTCTTCTAATAAATAAGGTGTGGTCAGCCTGAGATTGAGAAAAACCAATCTTTAAGATGGCATTCCTAAACCTGTCAAACCATGATCTTGGAGATTGTTTTATCTCATACAAAGATTTCTTCAAGTAACAAACTTTTCCATCACTGTTAGGAAAACTTACCCCAGGTGGTAAGTCAATATACACTTCATCTTGTAAGTCCCCATTAAGGAATGTATTCTTTACATCCATTTGATATAAAGTCCACGAGTATGGGCGGCAAGAGACATGATCACACGAATAGAGTTTTTAGCAACTAGAGCAAAGGTTTCCAAATAATCAATGCCATAAATCTGAGTGTATCATTTGGCTATAAGCCGAACTTTGTATCTTTCAATTGACCCATCTTCCTTGTGCTTGACAGTATAAACCCACTTACACCCAACAGGAATCTTATCTTTAGTGCAAAGAACAACCTCCCAAGTCTGGTTCTTTATTAGGGCCTCCATTTCTTGGTTCATAGCTTCCTTCCAGTAGGGGCATTGCATTGCCTTTGTAACATTACGAGGGATGGAAACAAAAGAGATAGCAGAAATATAGGCACAATAGGAAGGTGAAAGAGCATTATAAGACACATAGTGATATGATACTTTCTACATGTCCTCTTCTCTTTTCGAATGGCAATAGGAAGATCAAGGTTAGAATCAATAATAGAATTGTTAGGAGGTTCAAGATCACTAAGTGCGAGGAATTAGATTGTGATGGGCATTATGCTTCAGTGCCACCCTCTTATTGCGCCTGTTGAAAAACTACTGCCAAGAACGAGGTCGATACACAGGAGGAGGATGAGGAGGAGGAGGAGGAGAAGGAATAGAGGTAGGAAGAGAGGAAAGAATAGAGGTAGGAACAGGAAGGCAGAAGGAAGTCCAATATTCACTTGCATTCTCCCCCCGAAGAGAATGTCTGGGTAACTCGATAAAGGAAGAGAATTCCAAAAAGGTAACATCCTTAGAGACATATCTCTTGCTAGAGAGAGCATCAAAGCATCTATAGTCTTTTTGGACTGGAGAATAACCAAGGAATACACACTTAACTGATTTAGGATCAAACTTACGCCAGGAAGGACTCATATCATGAACAAAACAAACACAACCAAACACCTTAAGGGGTAGATTAAAAGGATGTTCATCAGGGAAGAGTAGTTGATGAGGAGAATGAAGGTTAAGGACCCTTGATGGGAGTCTTTTAATGAGATATATAGCTGTCTCAATAGCATCGCCCCAGA